GTTGCACGGTTGGTGCGGTGGCCGGGTAACCGGCTGCCGTACAACGTGTCGCGGGTTCGATTCCCGCACGGAACAACACTTTGTGTGACCCACAAATTGTTGTTTCGGGTCTGGGTGTCATTGTGTATGTGAACTTGTATGTTTGTAAAACGCACCCACGACACAGGAGTAAATCCTAAAATTGGGCAACGTGGGGCAATGCTTTCATTAAAAAAAAACTGCATTCTAAAGTAAGTGGTATGTTATAATTCTATCATTTAGGACTGGAGTTGGAGATCGTTGTTTAATGATTCAGTTATATCAAAGAACGCTGCTATCCAATCTATCTTTGTAGTCTCATAGTCCACAGATTATATAAAGAAGGTTTATATGTTCCGTGGTCGGCTCTTTCGGCACCCACGAGAATGGGTGACGAAAGTATTCTTGGGCATATCACATAGGAAAGTACTCTTAACTAGTTTCTAAAAAGGTTCATTTTCGCATGGGAAATGGTAGTTGTCAAGATGATTGTATGGTACAACAATACCCTACAAGCAACACGATCCGTTATCAGTGTCACATACTGCATCAAATAACATAGCCATAAACCAAAGCCCATCAAGCTACCCAAATGATTCCAAGCGTGCAATCGAATGTTAACCTTCTCTCTTTGTAATAAGGTCGAAATTTAATTAAATAATATTGTCGATTTGGTATATTTTGTTGTGCTGTTTGGCTATATACAACAGGGGTCATATACTACTAGACTATTGTATTAGTATGAAATTGATGTTCATAATTCTGCCCCTAGCAATGACTTCATGGACATTAGACAAGTAATCATGTATGACGTCCATTTCGCAACACGACATAATGAAACTCCTATACGTTGTTAGGCGCCTGGTACATCGCACAAATTGTCATGTATAAATTGGACTATACAAGACAACAGTACGTGTTATGTAGGTATATATAAATACCTTTTGCCTACAGCTTAGCTATTGGTAATGTAGATATTATATCTAGTGTTATTATAAGGCCTCCAGTTGTACATCCTGAAGTACTGCGAGAGGATTTTTTTTTAGGGGGGAAAATCATCGAATGACTTCTCCCGCCTGGGTGAGGCGGGAGGGAGTGTCAGACTCTTACTGACTAAAAACCACCCCGTTCCTTCTCCTGCACGTCGAGCCGGAGTCCCGGTAACCCGTTAAGTTCTCCGCGATTCCGTATCAGCATCAGCCCTATTGAGTCCCATCCGTGGTGGTCTGATTGCTCTTTGAGGCGCGCGCTGAAACCGACGCGCCGTATGCTCGGGTCTGGTTCTGGTCGGGCGGCGAGCCACTCATGCTCGCCGTCCACCGTCGCTATTACCCTATTATGGGTGTAGTGAGTTACCTATTAGTTTTTTCTTTACATTCGCTACAAAAGCATATAGACAATAAACTTAGAACTTCCCAAGTAGTAAAATTGAAGGAACGTGTAACATTTGAATGCAAATGTTTTTTCTTCCATATTTATGAGCTGATGTTGCAATTAAAAAGATGGCTGCTCATGTATTATGTTAATTCAGCCACCGTTTTAATACCCAAAATATTGCGATGGGTAAATCTTTTCCGGTTTCCTTTAAACCAGGGAAGATAAAATTATAATTCAATTCCTTTATATGCATATTTATAATTTTTCGATCGAAAAAAATGGTTATGGAAAATTGGGTTCCGTTTTGATAATATATTACTGGTTTTGTTTGGTTCTTTAGATGGATTTTTTCTGTTCTGCCAGTATGAAAAAATGTTTTGCATTTTTTTTATAATATAGAACGTTGCCCCCACTCTACGACTTCCTCTGGATGTGTTAACAAACATACAATTTTCATACCATATGACACACAGACTCGGACCATTTATTTACGGATCACTCAAAGAGTTGCTACGTACAGGAATCAAACCTGCGACTCGTTGCGCAGCAGCCGGTTGCCCAGCCACTACCAGCCAACTGAACGACGGGGGTAACTTGGTGACTTCTGCAACATCTACCTATATATAAAAATTAACTTCAATGGTTTTGTACAGAAAGCACAAATTGCTTTAACTTCTTTCATGATAAGTCTCTAAACCAAATTACCCGTTAATTATTATTATTTGTAATAAGATTACACATTTACCAAAGAGACCCACGAAAACATTAATTTAAACCTTTAATGAGACAAAACAAAGGCTTAATTCGCGAAAATTCGATCAAATTATATGCAAATAAAACTTTGTATAGATCTATCGAATCACTGAATCGTGTTACAACAGTTTATTTACTGTTGAAAAACGAATTTTCAATTGAAAACCAGCCTTATTGTTCAAACAATAGGAGCTTTTGTGTGTTGTAGTGGCTGTATATTTTCTTGGTTTTGTATTATGCGTCGATCGGCATTACTACTGGCCACTCGTCCAACCAATTACAGCGTCAAGTGGTATGAATATTCACTCGGTATCGTGAATTCAGATTCGATTATAGAATAATTCAATGGGACGGTGGAGGCGACGCGAAACGTACCCAGCGATCGCGTTTTTATATCGAGAATGAAACGAAAATAAATTGTAGGGGATTGATGTTATACTGGCTGAATAGACTATAAAAATATTAATATTATCACAATTTTCCCTTACTTGAAAAGAGTCTGACCTCTAAGTGAAATTCCCACCTGTAACACTACGATAACTTTTAATTTAATTTTACATCACAGCCGGATTCCAGACACTATGTTACTGAATTAACTAAAATCGCGGTTTACTCACGTGAATATACTGAGAAAAGCTCTACTAGTTTCGAACCACAGAGGGGTTCTTCCTCATGAGCAGCGTGCGCGGTCGCGGCGACGTCGCGCAGCTTACTGAGTAACCCGTGATTTTAGTTAATTTAGTATGCCTATGCCTACGATAGTTATTATAAAAACACTATGTACTGCTAAGAATTTCCGAAATAACTTCCCCTTACACTTTTTACTATCCGGGAATCTAATCCGAGACATCTAGCTTCACTTGCGACCACTACATCAATTAAGTGGTCATTTTATTGTAAGAAACGAAATCTCATACATTTTGTGGTTTTACGTTAACGCATTGGACACGTTTATGAAGATAAGCGCTCTGATTGGCTGCTCCAAGATAAGTAACCAATCAGATGGCTGAACGCGGTAACGTTTATTTTTCGATAGCGTTATCGTAAGAATAACTGAAACTCAGTTCTCTAATCAGTGTATCCTTCTTAATTCGATTTCCGAATTCAAATTGCTGCTATCGGATTGGTTGATAACATAAGGTCGAGATTCCTGTCGAGTGCTTAACAAATAGAATCGCTGCCTGTTACATGGGAATTGGTTTTGGCCTAACAACCTACGTACCTATCTATAGGAACGAGAACCGTAGCTTATATTATACTGGCTTGTTCGTAGCGTGATGTAAGAACATCAGCTATAAGAATAGCCTATATCGATAAATGAGCTATTCAATATAAACATAATTTTTCAAATAGGACCAGTGATTCCTTTAACGCGTTCAAACAAACCAACCCTTCAGCTTTATATGATAAGTATAGTTAAGATGGACCAGGTGTAGAATAATAGGGTAGATGCCTAATTTTTATTTTAATGTCCGTCTGGTAGATTATTTTAAAACATTAGACACGTATTTTTATTTTATTATTATTACAGAAACGAATACTTTCGACGATGTATTGATTTGAAATGTCACGTGACGTCACTTCTATGTACATTTTATACGTAGAAATGACGTTTCAGCCACCACTCCTAAACTTTGATTAGTTTTATCTAAGTATTGTTTATTTATACGACAAAATAAAAATACCAATTAATATTTTTTCATTACCTAACTTACGGAATAATTATATTTTGAATTGTCATACCCTGTCATCATCCCAATTTCGTATGAGGTTAAGTACATCCTTACGTATTACTAAGACACTTTCAAAGACTTGTTTGTGTTAAAGAGACGTGCACAATTCATACTTTTTGCTAGATGTTCATTAAAAGTCCTACGTAAAAAGAAGCACAACTCGATATTCTGAGTTAACTTAAGTAAAATTTATTCTTCAACAACAGTGCCTTTCTCACTTATATCTACTTTATCTACCTAACAAGAGAATTTAAAGATCAGAGTACAAGAGGCGTATTCGCTCTGATTGGTCAATTCAATGGAGTCGACCAATAAGATCGCCAAACGCGGCCTTGTTTATATTACATTAAACATAACACAAACTGATGCTACGTCCTTTGAATACCATAAACATTTCGTCAGTCAAATCACACATTCAACAAACACAAACTCCTTAACTACAACTCCATAACATACCACACATACTTCAATAGCATCACACCCAACACAATCAACGATACCCACATCAAAATCATTTGCACCACCAACATTTCAACGCCATTTATATTTAATAATATCAAACCCCAACTAGGGGGTGAACACTGAACACTCAACATGAAAATCAATATTTCTGTCTGCGAGGGCCCTTCCCTCCTAAATCCCTGCGTGCATCCTCGTCAAAATATCTGCATTTGAATTGTCCGAATTGCATGGGGTATGTTATTTAGTACATAGCGCCTATGTACCTCTGTTGTACAATGAGTCGATCGATTAACTATGAGGGATGCAGACATCGCTTTGATACGCTGGAATAGCAATTCAAATTAGTGTTCGTCTGATTCCTGCTTAACGGTTAACACGCGTACTAGAAACCTTCTGTGTGTATACACGTTTGTTCGTCTGTGTTTAGTTTGGTTAGATTAGATTGGCATATTGATAGAAATGAATGAGTTGGAAATTGAAAATAGGTGCATTAAATAAAATAATTTTAAACCAAAATTGTAGTGCCTAATTCTCAATTGAAAAAACCAGCAGTATCTTTTTTTATTGGATAAGCTGGTAAACAAGCAGACGGATCACCTAATGGAGAGCAATCGGCGTCGCCCTGGAACACCAGAGGCGTAGAGCGGAGGAATGTTGGCGATTCAGGAATTGGGGAGATTGGGTAGGATCAATGGGGATGATGACAGGGTATGAAAATTAAAAATATAATTAGTCCGTAAGTTAGGTAATGAAAAAATATTAGACACGAATTTTTTTATTTTGTCGTATAATAAAACAATACTTAGATAAAACGAAACAAAGTTTAGGAGTGGGGGCTAAAACGTCATTTCTTAGTATAAAATGTACTGAGAAGTGACGTCACGCGACATTTCAAATCAATATATCTTCGAAACTATTCGTTTCTGTGAGAAAAGAAAAAATACGTGTCTAATGTTTTAAAATAATCTACCAGACGGACATTAAAATAAAAATTAGTCGTCTACCCAATTGAGCTTTCGATAACCTTACTCATACGATGAAACACAACTAAACTCGGTTTTTTGTGAGGCCGTGGCTCTACCACACTTAGAAATCTGGATATGCTGACGCAGTTTTTAACTGCACGGTTGGTTCAGTGGCTGGGCAACCGGCTGCAACGCAACGTATAACGGTTTCGATTCCCGCGCGGACTATTTGTGTGATCTATATATTGTTGTTTCTGGTTTGGGTGTCATATGTATTTGATATTATATGTTTGTAAACGCATCCACGACACAAGTGAAAAAGCTAGAGTGAGGCACGTTTAAAAAAAAATTAAAGAAGGAAAAGGTAAAAAGGTTAAAGTGCCTACATTAACGACGATCAAACATAACATCAAGTCTTACACTCATCGAAGTTAAATCTAACACCCACACACACACACACGTCCTCCAAAATGTCAGTAAGAAGACAAACATGAATCAATCTTTAATTTACACAGTACGTAAGCTTTCGTTAAGAAAATACAAACTCACATTAATTTCTTTCGAGCAATCAGCTCAAACACGTCACCTACTCATCCTACTTCATCCCCAATCTGTTTAAGGGTAACGTAATACCAAAATACAATTCAATTTACTTCGTTTTCATGTCAACACACACTTTTAATCGGCGCATGTCACCGGGGTCGAGGTAAGTGCAAATTATTCGGGATGAAAATCCTACGTTCTGATTTACGAAGCGTCGAGTATTTTGTGTTGAGCACCTTCGTTTAAATTTTAAATGATGGTTTTGAGTTTAATCATATGTCTTGCGAGCTTTTACTTGGCTTATGTGTGTAGAGATTTTGGTAATAACGTCATGTTTACATTTTCATCGCTTTCGAGGTTTATTCTGCGAGTACCTAAGTAAGACATAACATAACATAACATCACGCCTTTTATATATATAACATAACATAACATAAATAACATCCCGAAATGGTAGGCAGAGGAGCACACTACGGCTCTTAAGGCCGTTGTGCAACATAACACCATCTTTTCACTATTTAATAAGAAAGAAAGAAAGAAAGAAAAATCATTTATTTGGCAATTACACGCACAGAAAACAAAGAATATAAAAAAATAAAAATACATCTACAGAATACATACAATACATACAGAATTTTGAATAAACAATAAAAAAAAATAATCTAATAAACAAAATAATAATATTAATTTTAATTTGCGCGTGCTAATGCCAAAAGGGCCTCCACCTCAGCATATAGTTGGACGTTTGTGCCCAACGCTGGTTTTCAGGTGGCACCCTGCAGTGACTCACGGACGGCGGTGCCGCCCCTCAATGAAGACAAAAAATAAACATGAAATTGTATAAATAATATAAATTTAGCTGAATATGTGTGTGTGTGTGTGTGTGTGTGTGTGTGAATATGTGTGTGTAATATACCATATACCAAGTACAATTCCAGACTCCGTGCTACTACTAAGTTTTCATAAAACCCCAGTAATACTTTGCCCGACCCGGGAATCGTACCCGAGTACGCTTGCCGCCAGGCAATGGTCACAAGTGCGACTGCCAAGTCGCACTTGTGACCACTCGGCCAACAAAGCAGTCATCTCTTAAGTAAGACTAATGTTTAATCTTATGCACATCAATCAATAAATAAACAAATTAATTCAGGGATCTAAATATATCAAATTGTTTCAGCGGCTTAGACGAGCATTAGTTTCTTTTCTATCTTACATATACTGTTAACTAACTTGATTTCGATAACAAGAAAAGAAAACTATCGATTGGATTCCAAAACCAAACCCCTAAAAAATAATTTTACAAAAGACACAGAAGTGAAGTAGTTTCTTCATTAACTTTAACCATGTATAATATACCTCATCAACAGCCTATAAATGCCTACTGCTGAGCAAAGCCTCTACTCACACGGAGAAGGTTTGAGCATTAATCACCACGCTTGCTCAATGCGGGTTGGCGATTACAAACTTATAATTAGAAATTATAAGCCCAGGTTTCCTGACGATGTTTTCCTTCACCGTTTGTCAGTGGTGTGAAGATAATCTTAGAAAGTACATATAACTCGGAAAAATTGACATTGGTACTTGCCGTTGGTAGGTTTCGAACCCGCACCCTCATGCATGAGAAGCGGGCGTCTTAAGCCTTCGGGCCACCACGACTATATATAATATACCTAACATGTGTAAATAAATTCCCAAATTACTGCAAAAGGTATTTACTTCCATATGCATTGCCAAACAGTTGCGGTTGAACGCCATCTGTCATTTGTAACAAGAACTATCTGTTGAGTAAATACGAAATGGGATCCCTTGAATACTTAATTTGATCTGTAAACGTGTTGTGTTAGAGTTGAATATCGTTTGTAGTGCAAACAGATTCGTGTACGATGTCCAGGGAGGTGCTGTCAAAAGTTCCGCTTTGGAGTTCGCGGTTTGAATTCGGGTGTGTGGTTGTCTGTTTTTGAATGTATGAATGGATTTGATTTTGTTAAAGAAATATGCTGTACTTGTATGACTGCTCTACAAACTCGTTTTTTAATTGAACTGCTCGATAGCAAAATTATATCAGTCGAAATTAAAGACGACACGACTTTCAAACCTTCAAGAAAAGAGCGTATTCCTTTTTAAAAGGTCGGTAACGCACCTGTGGCTCCTCTGGTGTTGCGGGTGTCCATGGGCGGCGCTGATCGCTGACCTGACTGGTTATCCGTCTGCTCGTTTGCCTCCTATTCCAAAAAAAAAAAATACAGTTAGAGGTCTTATATTTTCATGATATGAGTCTCCTTAGTACGTACATAGTACATAGGATTTGGAAATCAAAGTGTAAAAGGCTCATTAAATCCTCTATCAAATGTCCCTTAGGGCCGACTTTTTCCAACTCCAGATAAATTTTGACTGAGGTATCACTTTGAATATTTCACAATTGGACACTTTCCATAGTCAAAAATAAATTATTCAGTCTATTCAATTCAATATAATATTAAGAAATAATCACACTTTCATTAATTGACCTTACGACCAACCTAATTTTAGTATTTATCCAGAAAATTTCTAAGGCATAAGTGTACTGTTTGACTTTAAAAAACGTGATGCCACAATACACAATCTCGTACAAAATTAATAGAAAACTCTCATTTTTGACAGTTCGAAAAAAGTATTGAATTTGACTAATTGGCAAGTACCTACACAATTCTTCCATACTATAATCTGTCAATTTTATTCTACAGTTTAGAATTAACTGATGAATGAAAAATCGGCCCCTTATTTAGTTCTTGATACCCGTGGAAAGATCTCATTCACTATACGATCGCAAAACAAAAGGAAATCTGCTAAAAATATATAGGGTAATTTCGCCTGTTCGCGTCCATTTTCCGGATCGCCATGAATGTAAGATACTTAAAACGTGAAAAGGTCAAACAGATATATAAGTAATATAAAATACATATATAAATATAATATAATAGAAATACTCCTACTCAGTACACATCTGTTTAACCTTTTGTCAAACTATATAAGTAGTTATAATATGGTGATAGTTTTCTTATTCTCGAGAATTTTTTAAGGGCGTTCCGTAACATGGTTGCGAACAGGCGACCTTCCCCTATTTAACAGATACGCAAAATCGTCAAATAGTACCTACTAAAGTCCCTGTTAGAAGTTTATAAGACCAAAAGCCCAATTATAAATAGATTCTATATAACAAAGCTGAAGAAATAAATTTGTCTCGATAAGCGTCTATAAATCAGGCCACGACTTTTGAACGCAATTAACTATGGAGGTGTCTCATGGCCAAAGTACTTACTCACCTATTTTAGGTTTAAAATTTGCATTTAAATAGGTCCTTCACGGCAACGTGTTAATATCTTGAATGTGTGAATTGTGGCGACTTCTTTCTTCATTTTTAGAATTAAATTTTCTAAAGGCTTTTAAATTAGTAATTTGTATAGAACTGGTCTTGATTTAAAGAATGCTCTGTTACAGTATATAGAATTTAAAGATTAAATAAAAATTACAAGTTACTCACGTAAATGTACTGAGAAAAGCTCTACTAGTTTCGAGCCACAGAGGGACTCTTCCTCATGAGCAGCGTAGGCGGTCGCGGCGATGTCAAATTAAAAGACAAAATCATTTGTCACGCAGGCTACTCGAAACTAGTAGAGCTTTTCTCAATATACATATTTACGTAAATAACTCTTAATTATTAGTTAACTAGCTTTTACCCGCGGCTTCGCTCACGTCAAAAAAAGATAAAAAGTAGCCTATGTGACATATACCAATATACACAGCGCCATCTATACCAATAATTTCGTTTTCCCTCGAGAATATCAATTTTTTTTCGGGATAAATAGTACCCTATTACTTAATCCAAACTTCTAACTTCACATCTGCAAAAAATCAAAGCAATCGGTTTAGTAGTTACGGCGTGAAAGTGGAAACAACAAACAAACAAACTCACTTTCCGATTTATAATATTAGTAAGGATTATATGCACGAGGACTTAGAAGCAAGACGCAATAATTTTACAAATTCTCACAAATATTAAGAAACGTTTATTTTTTTACGTCGCAACGATCTCATATTATGATTCTTATGTCTTAAAGTGGATGATAGGTCGTAGAATGTCCTATCCTATTAGCTTATTGTTTGCGCTTATTACTATCTAAAGCGAGAAGTGCATGCACTCGCATATACGACACAACACAT